TAAAAAATTGTTTAAGTATTTTTTTAATACATTATCCAATATATAACGTCATACATTGTATATATAGCACAGAGGTATCAATTTGTACAATGTGTAGTAATTAAGTATTGAAAGAAAATTTGGTTATTATTTGGTGAGTGTCGTATATATATCTGATTTTATGTACAGTAAATCTCAAACTCAGTAGTCTATATGTTCATGAATGTGATTTTTAATAGAATATATGCCAACAGCTTGGTCAAACGCGATGAGTTGGTTGGTTGGTTTGTTGTTTAACGCCGCACTCAGCAATATTCCAGCTATATGACGGCGGTCTATAAATAATCGAGTCTAGACCAGACAATCCAGTGATTGATATCATAAGCATCGATCCATGCAATTGGGAGCTCTCTTCTGTCCAAACGCGATGAGAAAGAGATCAAGAAGAAATGAACTGTCAATAAGGCAGTGCATTGGCCATATCTGATAATGGTGTGATATGTATTCAAAACAAATTGAACCCAGTACTGTTAACCTAATATCTATAAATATTCAAGAATTTTTTTAACAGCATCAACCAAGGCAAAAGAAAACAAACTGACATATTTCTGGCTGATATGAACATGTCAATAACTAAATGTGAATTGCCTATGTTTAGACATATTTGCTCACTAAATGAAAACATATGCAATACTAAGAGTGTCAAGCAATGATGAAATCTTTTATTAAACATTGAGACTCATCCAATTTCCTTTCTTGCAAATTCAAACTGTGATATAATCTGGTATTCAGAAGCCAAGCAAGAAGGAGGGCTGCCTCACTAAAAAGAGAGATTAGTGCAACAGGAGGAGGACCACCACTTCAACCACTTAATGAAGTGAGTGAGCGAGTGAGTGAGTTGGGTTTAACGCCGCTTTTAACAGTATTCAAGTTATATCACGGCGTGTCAGCTTAATGTGGGAGGAAAGCCCGAAGTGATGCGGGTCTCAGATGTTTACCACTTCCTTGAAACCCACGAGCACGGGTATGGTGCTGACATACCTAGAAACATAATCGGGGCTAACCGGGATTCGAACCCACAATCATAGGTTTCTGGCGTGCCCAAGGGACGCAACACTGCACAGCAAATTGCGGCGCCTTAGACGACTGGGCCACATGTACCCCCACTTAATGAAGTTGAAGGGCAGGTAAATATAATTACATTGGCATATCAAAGATTACTATAACTTCTATTTAATCAGCCAGGCTAAATGACACATTCACAGCATGTATTGTAATCGCTTGTATGAATTGTTTTCACATTTGATACATTTATTCACCTCTTTCATGAACAGGGTTACCACATACACATTTGTAATGTTTCATTGTTATGTGTTACAAATATTTGAAATTTACAGTCTTTATTAAAATGTATTTACAGATTGTATGACTGATTCCCTCCTGTCAAATTGATGGTTGTGAAGGTGTATTGGAGAGTGATGTGAATGAATGTAAGCTAAGGAAATCTGAATTCATAACATAGAAAAACATATCAACATTAATTATTATTAATTATAAATGACCTGTGATAAAGATTCCATTTACAAATATATTCAACATTTTGTCATTGAAACAATTGTAAGATTTTAGTGAGTCAGTGTCACTCATAAATATCTCTGTTGCATGAAAACTTATAAATTCTGATTATTCATTTTCATTTAGTTGTTCCCGAAGACCAGAAGGGGCGGTCGGGTAGCCTAGTGGTTAAAGCGTTCGCTCGTCATGCCGAAGACCCCGGTTCGATTCCCGACATGGGTACAATGTGTGAAGCCCATTTCTGGTGTCCCCCGCCGTGATATTGCTGGAATATTGCTAGAAGCGGCGTAAAACCATACTCACTCACTCACTCCCGAAGACCTGACAAGTGCTTGTCCACCTGACGAGCAGTCAGTGTTCGTTATACCACCATCACCACCACAGCTGGAGTCACAACAGAAACCGACAGTTGTTCAGACTGTCCTAGCTGTGGAAGGTATTAATATATAATTGATCTGACACAACTTGTCATGATAATTCAACTATATCACAGGTCTGACCATTCACACTAAGATTTATAACATTTAAGACCAGTGAAAAAATACAGAGTAAATAGAAAATGTAGCTTTGTTGTCTGAAAAGATTTTCAACTCCTCTCACAACTTCTTATATAAATATCACTTTTGTCAGTTCACTCAATATTATAAACATGTTATTAGGTGAGAAAATACAAATAATCTCCAAAATCTTACACATTTATATTGTGTATTTTGATTATGGGAAAAGCCTTCAAGTTCATTACCTTTATTCATGTTTCGATTTGAATTGATGTACTGTAATATACTACTCATATTTTCAGGACAAATTCCAACCACAAGAGACAAACTGATGTCTTTAGAGGAAAGTGGAGATCCTGCTGCAGTTACTGTCAGTAGAAATCCAGCGTCTCAGTATTGAAGAAAGAAATCTCGCTATCAATGAAAGAAATGTGAAAATAAATGAAGAAAAATTGTTGCTGAAACGAGCAGAAAAGAATGTTCAGTGCCTGTCTCCTCTCAAATTATTTCATCATTAATTAATATTTCAGCTTTGTTGTCCTGTTTAAATGTATATCTAATATTTGACTCTGTTAAGTCTACTTTAGGAAGGTGAGTGAGTGAGTGAGTTTGGTTTTACGCCGCTTTTAGCAATATTCCAGCAATATCACGGCGGGGGACACCAGGAATGGGCTTCACACATTGTACCCATGTTGGGAATCGAACCTGGGTCTTCGGCGTGACGAAAGAACGCTTTAACCACTAGGCTACCCGACCGACCTGTACTTTAGGAGAGGGGCAGTGGGGTAGCATTGTGGTTAAAGAGTTTACTCATCACGCCAAACACCCGGGTTCGAATCCCCACATGGGTTCAATGTGTGAAGTCCATTGCTGGTGTCCCCCGCTGTGATATAGCTGGAACATTGCGAAAAGCCGCATAAATACACATTCACTCACTTACTATTTAGAAGAAACATTTCAGCTCATTTCAGAATGTTTAATTTTTTCACATGTTCAGTATTGTTCACTGTCTTGAGAATAATTGGCGGATTACACGACGCCTGGTTTGAAACCCACCACAATTAGGTCCATGATATACTGTGGCATCACTGGCAACTTCATCAGCCTGGGAAGGTGGCAGTGGTATGTTCATGTCAAGGCACATATTGTGCAGCTGGGCTGCAGCATACACTACTTGGTGGCAGCTGGGCTGCAGCATACACTACTTGGTGGCATCTCTTGCTGGTAAACATCAAACACCCTGTGGCTTTCCCCAGACAACTGTAAGTCACAATAGTACAATAAAATTTTGTTGGAATAATATTTGAATTAACTTGTGCTCAAATATATGAAGATGTTATCTTGTTGTAACATTTATACAAATTTTCATATCTTATATATCCACAGAGGGGCAGTCGGGCAGCCTAGTGGTTAAAGCGTTCGCTCGTCACGCCAAAGACCCGGGTTCGATTCCCGATGTGGGTACAATGTGTGAAGCCCATTTCTGGTGTCTTTCCCCCCACCCCCAATATTGCTAAAAGCGGCGTAAAACCATATTCACTCAATCACTCACTATATACCGACAGCAAGAGATTGCAAAAGATATCTTGTGGCAAATATCAATCATGTATGGATTTTTTTCTGACTTATAGACTCAATAAAACATGAATAATGTTAAACATTTAAAAGAAATAATTTAATATTTTTTAAATCTACATTGTTTTGGCCTAAGTAATTATTGGTATACATACCGGAATCTAGACTTCAACACCCCGAAAGCCCTCTCAACGGTGTTTCTGTTTCTGCAGTGGGCACGGTTATATTTATCCTCTGGTTGTGTTTGTGGCTTCGAAAGAGGAGTGAGGAGCCATGGCCGACAGGCATATCTATTTAGTAAAGTATACATAAATGTTGGTTAGAAGTGTTTGCAGAACATGTGACTGTGATCGATGGGTTTTTATTTTCCTTCACTGCAATATTAATGTCATCGTTATTAATTAACTGATTTGAAAACTGTCAATTTATCTGAGCATTTCAAACTGTGACATATCCCTTTATTAAAAGGTCTTCTGCAATAATAAACTTACAAATTACAATCAAAACTACTATGTTGATGTTATTTTTCACATAAGAATGTTGTTATACCCAGAGTCACCGAGCAACCATCCATCCACAGAGTTCTCCTCTAATTTGGTGCCAATGTTACTGTTGGACAGCATGAATGCATCATGAGTTGCCCCTGGCCATCTACAGGCAAGGTTGGTGAAAACTGAAATAGTGGAAATATATTTTCATTATCTTCATTAATAACCTCCTAGAATGGGGTCAACCATTTTCTAAGTGTTCTGGGGCGGTCGGGTAGCCTAGTGGTTAAAGCTTTTGCTCGTCAGGCGGAAGACCCGGGTTCGATTCCCGACATGGGTACAATGTATGAAGCCCATTTCTGGTGCCCCCAGCCGTGATATTGCTGGAATATTGCTAAAAGTGGCGTAAAACCATACTCACTCACTGACTCTAAGTGTTCTATTGTTCAAACCATACAATTGTTATTGTTGTTGTTTTTCCAAACAACCAAACAAACATGTTTTTCCTTCCTTCCATCTTTTCAAATATTCACTTAAATTAATTTTTAAACAAATGTTGATATGTTTAATCCCGCAGTCACACATGGTAAGTTAAACTGAAAAGAAATCCAATACTTTTATACTATTTAAATATTATTTTCACCAACAATTCCAGAGAGCAATTAATTAATTTGTGTACATTTACTCACATTCATTACTTTTACATTTTAGTCCTGGATTTGATACTTATTTCATTTCAAAAACATATTTTTTTCACATTTCATTCTACTGACAGAACAATGTGTGTATAATCATTACAAACTGTTAATAATATGATTAAGTAACCTTATAGGAACCCCTTTCTTAAACCTTTATTGTGCCCCTTCGATATCATTGGCTGGGTTTATTGATAGGGGGCACAATGGGTCAAGGTCAACTAAGCGAGGCTGTGCATTGTGATCGTAGCAGTATGTATCTTTCTCATTCAATATAACAATTTCATTACTATTATAAAACGGGTACAATTACCGGAGATCAGCATCACATATTGCTTGAATATTGATGGCATGGTAACCCATACGGCGACCTCCTCGTCATGCGGTGGTCCAAAGACGTATATAGAATATACGTCCGGGGGTGGTCTAATAATAGCGATCAGCGTGCCATCGATGCACATTGAGGAACCCAGCTGTGTCATAAGATTTTTCTTTTTGTGTTTTGACGGGTTGTGGCATCGCTTGGAAAGTGTATCAAATTCAGATGTTTACACCGTAGATTTATGGTTTTGTGTATCACCCTCGATACACTAGGTTGACTGACACCGTGCAGGTCCCTGATTTCAGACTGAAAACCACCTTTTGCCAAATATCGCAGAGTTATCAAAAATGCATTTCGGGTGATAGTGTTAGTTCTACCGAACGTTTGGTCGTTCGTTCGAGGTAGGACCCCACACTCGCAATAATTTGCATGATAGCATGCCGATTTAGCCATTGCTGGATATTAGCTGCGTGTCATCTAGCGACTATTTTTATATTTTTATTGTTACATGGTCCTGTGGTCCAGCTGACTCGTCCTGTCAGGGAATATTTTCTTCCTGGAAGGTGTTAGGGTTGATTGCTTTTCTCTATCGAGAAGCCCATAGGTAGGACGCCATGATGGATACCTAAGACAGGTTTACGACAGGTCAAACCCTGTCTTAATTTTTGTCATAAACTTAACCCTCATGGTGCCACGGGACCATATGTTCCCTCACTTTTCACACCCGCACAGTGCCAATTTTAAGGGACTATATATGGTCCCGAGAAAATGCCCTTTTTAAACTGTGAATTTTGATATCAAACACCGAGTGCGCAAAGTAAAAGATATAACCATCATCACCCCAATCATCTTAGCTTTAACATCGTGCAACTCATACTTTATACAATGCGAAGTATGGCGAGATTAGTAAGATGTATGTAAACGTGTTTATCGGTAATGGCGGAATGAGAAAACGACAGTGTATATTTCCATTATATTTACGACGTGCATTGAATGAAATTACAACCATCATCACCAGGGCTGCAACGAATATCCTATGAGGAGAATACGATTGGTATCACGAATATAGGGTAATGAATACGAATATAAATTTACGAAAACAATATATAATAAGTCAGTAGATCTAGTTGATGTATTATTTGTGAATTCAGTGAAACATTAACAACATAAATTATTTGACATCGTTTGTTTATTATTTATTTTATACATTTAGATCTATATAGATCTACTGCACTTGTCCAGGTACTTCGTCTTAGTATCTGCAACGGAAGTTTTTTGTTCAAGTATTGCAAATGTTTATCGACTGTTTGTCATGGCGATTTCGCACTGCGCCTGAGACGAAACGACAATGCAGATTGTCTTTCTGTTTATGATGCTGATTTACAGAAAATATTCAAATCAAGGATATGATTTAGACAAATTTATGGTTTAGACAAATAACTGCTACTTTTTTCATATGAAATGACTAAGAGTCATGTTTGATTGCTCAAACTACCTGACCGTGTGAAGGACTTGCCCTAACTGTTTCAGACTCGATTATTTACAGACCGCCGGCATATAGCTGGAATAATGCTGAGTGCGGCGTAAAACAACAAACAAACAAACCTAATACATCGCGAAATGTGATTTCAAAAGTGTGGCCACGACATCTAACGTGAGTCGACGCCATATTGTAAACAAATTGTGTCAAGGTCGGTTCCACATGTGGAAGCTCGGCCCCTGTTTCTGTCGATGGTACACGCGATGCAAACATAATGCAACTACTGAAAACATCAACATAACTTCTACAATGATGACAGCAATTCCTTTTTGAATTTGGGTTAACCGCTTATGGATACGCTGTGCTGTTAAGTTCGATTTCAATTTGTTTTTCCTTTCATTGGAACTGTGATAATGGCGCTGTGATTGGTTTGCTGAAATAGTATTTTCCGTGAGTCTAATGTACATGGTACATGCTGTGATTATACAAGATAATTGACAACCAACTGTGTATGCATATTTACCATCAAATGCACATTACTAATCTCCTAAAAAAATTGAATATTTTAACACGACAGCTCTTATTGCCAACAGTCTGCCATGGATATTAGATCTAATAAATATTAGATTTACAAATTGTTGATGTACACTGTACTCACGATTAACGTATGATAATCTATTGCAAGTCTTCAACTCTTATTTGATATGTTATGTGAAATGTCAGCAATTAGTAAACCTTTTTTTCGTTACAATTTGCAATTTTATTTGAAATGGCTAATAGACGGTCGGTGATTTCCCGCCGCTGTGAATTTGTCGTCTGGATAAGTGCGCGTGATTTGACCTCGCGTGTTGTGACGTGGATGACGTCACATGAAACAACTGATCTAATGTTGTGGGAGTATAATGGATTTTCCAAATAACAAAAATCTCTTTGACTGAACTAGAAAGTAGGTATCTAGTGCATCACGCTTGGAAAATGTCTACGGCGACCGACGAGTAAATGAGACCGCTTATCACTTGACTAACACTGTTAATATATTTGGCGCAGTTATCCAGTTTTGGTAGAATCTGTGTTGACATGTGCTTTTCATATCTGTTCGAAGGCTTGATATTCCAAGAAAATAATGTGCATGTAGTTGAGTAAGGGAATGGAATGTTTTACAGCGGGAAAGCTGTCAAAATGGATCCAATATTAAACAACCTGATTTAATATTTTAGCTTCATATCTATTAGAATCTCGAGTGCTGTGCAAATCCTTCAGCTGACCGAACTCTGCATGACAGTTTACGAGCCGGATTTTGATTTCGGTGCGCGATTTTGATTGGACTATGCATAGACTCGTTAGTCCAGCCAAATCTAGCTCCATAATACCAGCCTAGTTCGGCAAGGGTGGAAACTGGACTTTTATAGTCAGTTAACTCCCTTGCCTCGGGAAGATGTGAATATCTGAGTTGAGTATCTGCGTTGATAGGACCAAATAACTAAAACATCAACTGGTCTAATAATGATTTTTTTTTTATGTTTGCAATAGTTATTCATACACTTTATCTCAACTCATTAAATACATAAGGTGACCCGGGAAGATCCGGGGTAGAATAGGCCTTCAGCAACCCATCATGATGCTTGCCGTAAAAGGCGACTATGCTTGTCGTAAAAGTCGACGAACGGGATCGGGTGGTCAGGCTCGCTGACTTGGTTGATGTATGTCATGGATCCCAATTGCATTGATATCGATGCTCATGATATTAATCACTGGATTGTCTGGTCCAGACTCGATTATTTACACACCGCCGTCATATGGCTGGAATATTGCTGAGTGCGGCGTTAAACAACCAACCAACCAATACATAAGGTTACACACATTGCCAAAAGTGATCTTCGTGTACTATTTTTAATTAATGCCTACCATTAAAGTCATGGGGCAATGAAGATGTAGCCATTGCTGCTGTGCTCACATCAGGATCAGCCTCCAAAGCATCGTACAGAAAACACCCATCAACTTGAAATATAAATGGTTCAACACATGAATGATGACTTATGTAACTTTGCCTAACTGTGAGCATATGAATGAGTTGACTATGTCATGAAGATAATAACAGTCACCAATCTTAAATCAGCACTGTAAAGTGGAATGACATGAAAATATTTACCCCCTGAATCAAATCCTCAAGCAATTCCTTCAATCTGACAAGGAGGAATCAAACTCACAATCTATAGTTAAAGAAATGAAGAAAATAGTTAATTCATGAAACATAAAACAAGTAAATAGTATCAACATTCTGCAAAATTATTTCCCCTATGCCAGCAGAAATAAAGTCAATTTAAACTTTTTTCTAAATTTGTTATATCATTATATGTAACATAAATAACTAAGTGAGGTAACATTTGTTTGTCTAGGTATCATATCACAATTTCAAACCCAATCCTTATGTTTATGCATAATCCATATGTCATGCATTTAGGCAATTAGACTATTAGATATGATCTGATATGTTCCTTGTGTTGTGTTTCATACCTTCTGTTCAACAGTAGTGAGTTGCGTAGGAGGGCCACCTCCACCAGTTCTCACACTCTCCTTCCTCCTTGTCACCTCCTTCTTCTTGGCTGCAGCCCTGAGGTCCTGCCATTTCTTTTTCAGCTGAGGCACAGTCCTTACCTCCGTGTTATTGGCGTTGATCCTGTAAACACATATTATTTCAAAATGACAGGATATATGTTGATAGATGTCACTCATGTTTCACAATTGCTTTGTGATTGTCTACAATTAAATATGCAGATATTTAAAAATAAATGATTTAGGCGTTGTTTTTTTCTAATCACACAGTCGGACATTCAGGAAATTTACGTGTAATCTACATGCAACTCGTTTCATTATGTGAGAATATTGATACTTCCGCGACCTCTTTCATTTGTGTGCAAACATGTATCTTAATGTTTCTTTTGAATTCTCAAATATTTCAGATCTGTATTCCTAGCAATAAAACAATTCCCACATTTTCAAATATTGCACTATCAAAGAAATATAGGCCTCTTGCAAGTTCAAGTAGATCTACAGTCACCTTCTATCGCTATTAGTTTACTTCCGCATAACAACAAGCGCGATAACTCTAGGCCTAATTGGCATACGTCTATGACAGATGTGGGTTCAATGCCGGTGAAATGCACTCACTTTGTCAGAATATCCTCCCATATTTTCTTCTTTCGATTGTTGGTGATGCAAGAAGAAAAAGATGAAAACAGCGCATCGGAATTGCTGCCAACTTCTTCAGTAAGAATTTCGACTTCTGTCGCCGAAAAGTTTCTCTTTCTCGATTTCTTGTCGCAAATGTCCTCCATTTTACTGCGCTTCGTCGTCTGCTCAGAGCACCAAGCTCCTCACAGCGATATACCGTTCGCGGAGCTCTCCAAACTATGCCACCAGTCAAAACTCCCTACAGTGATAGATGACCACAACCATGCTTGGAGTTTAACTCGCAGCCGATTGACCGTTATATTTACAAACAAGTGACGACTGTCGTGACGCCGAATACACTTACCCCTGCTGAATTACTTTCTTTGTTTGTCAATTTGAATTTCTATTTCATTAAATCTATCATGTAATTGACATGGTAAGAACATAAGGGAGAAGTTGGTTGATTTTCCGTTAGTCTGCAATCTCGAACCAATCTGATTATACAAACAACAAAGTAAATTCATCTGGAAAACATGGTCAGTCGTAAACCTTTTCAAAATGAACGATGATGCCATTCACAAACACATAAACAAAAGTACGAACGTGACAACATTTGGGGTTAAGAGGGCAAATTTCAAGATTCTTGTAATGGCCGCGCCCACACTGGTGGCAGCGATGTCACCGAGAGTGTAAGGAAGGTGTCACGCGCTGGGAAGGAGCTTGTCGGAGCACCTGCTACGGCAGATAACTATTGTGCAGATTTTCCTACCACACAAAGGGAAAGAATATTTTGGGTAATTACTACAGAAAACATAAAGTTGACAAACAAAGTATTGAGGAAATTTCATCAGAGCCATTATGGTTCAATCACCAATTTAAAAAATAATTTCATTCTAAAAGATTGGTTTAATCAGGGTATTCATAGTTAAAAAGATTTATTCAGCACCAACAGATTTTTAACATTTGAAGAATTACAAAACCAATTTCAAATTGAAGGTACTATACTTGACTTCTACAGAGTAATGCTAAATGCTAAATATTCTAAATCGCAATACATGGCAGATTTTCTATCACAGCTAACTTACACATAAATAACATCGATTCTGGATAAGTTATTTTGCTACAACAAAAACAACTACGTTTTCAACCACATAATTCTTCTTGCAGAAAAATACATTCACCAGTCAAGCACTAAGAAAACTCATTAATGATATGCTTTCCTTTTTTCATAAAAATATTGAAAGATGTATGTAAAATAGAACAATTCATCACAATAGTAGTATTAATAGATTCAACAGGAAATGGAAGGAATTATCAGCCAACTTATTATAACTTCTCAGTCAAACAATATATGTACATACCCATATGTGATCATGTGTACGTATATACATCATGCACCAATGTTACATTTATGTCTACTGAATTGAAAAAAAAATATATTAAAAAAAAATATAAAAAATTGATCAGAACCCCTTGACTGGGCGCCACCAATTTGTTTGAAGCAAATGCAAGTGATAAAAGACGGGGGATCTGATTTGTCAATAGGTGTGACACAGAAGGGACATACCATGCAACAGCCACTGGTGGTACTACTGTCATAGCGACTGATTTACGACATCCATTGTCTGAAGAACATTTAATTGCAAAGGCCCATTACCCTGGAGCCATGACATCTATATGCCTTGAAACATTTAATTGCTGTTATTTATAAGATGCTTATCCTAATGGTTAAACCCCATTTTTGTGTACATCGACCGTCTGCCATCCTGAACGAGATGTGCAAGCATGTCACTGATGAATTACTGTTTATATTTATATTTATTACTTACTAAATGTCAGGTGACCTTGGCAATATAAGCCTTGGTCCAGAGAAATTGAGAGGAAGGAGAAAAGAAAGGTCTTACCCTTAGCCTAGCTAGGGTTAGACTGGGTGCTCCGGGGCACCTAGACAACAACCACTACCACTATGTGCTGACCTGGCACATAGTGTCTTTTGTATGTATATATCTACATGTATAAAGTAAAACTGTATATACCGCAAGCCATCGTCTCCAAGTTGTCACTTGCTACTGAAAACCATACGTCGGCCTCTTGCATATACGAGTATGCAAATTATTCATTAATCAACGTCACAGACCACACGCGCGTTGTTACTACGATTGAGCACCGACTTTAGCGCCTCGTTCGGTAAGGTTGGAAAGTTACAGGGCATTGCATTCATTGCAGAGTTGGACACATTTTAGGGCCATGAAGGCGGGGAAAGGGGTACATGTTGTGCAAATGGTAGTATACATGTACTGGATATCCGTTTAGTGTCCCGCGTATTTCGTGTTCTGTGTGGACAAAAATACAAGCTAGGTTGCATTGTTTGCGTGGGCACTACTATACTCAGAAATCGATGTTTCTCCCTTTTCAGTGGCCAGAATGACGACAGCACGTGTAGTAGACCGTGGATATGCCTGGATCGTTCTGTTCGCAACGTTCTGCGTGATGTTTATCTGCGGGATGTTGATGTACTCACCAGGGGTGATCAACACCGCCATCTTGGAGGAAGTTGACAGCGACCTCTCGCGGACGTCATGGGTTGGCTCAACTATGTTAGGGACCTTCACCTTAATGGGTATGATTAAAGACACACAGCTTATACTGACATATCGCATAAATAATGAAGGCTTAGGTTTCTGATTGCCCAATATGTCTTCAAATCTAATTGGTGACGAAGTTTGTGTACATGCAGTGCATATACCTCTACACAGAAGAATTTCTAATTCTGGAATCCTATTATTGGCTCCACAATAATACCAACTTCTGAATGTTTATTAGTTTTATCGTTACTTCCTTTTGGGGGCTGGTATGATAAATTTAAAGAAGTATATTATGCAGTATTTTATGAGAGATACTTTAATGTCAAAAGTAGTGTCTAAAAATTCAATTTTGTCTGTTGCTTTTAATATGATGTTGTTGGAGACATGCATTAATCTAATCTAGTTAATCACACCTAATTAAATTCAGTTACTCCATTTATGCACAGCTGTGAACAAGCAGGTATAGATGTGTGCCAAAGAAAACATTTTCTAAATATATGCACATGTAACTGACTGAACGACATATGTTCCAGATTGCACATACACATATCTAAACACGAATACTCTATGTCAATAATCATCAAGTTGAGTCAAGATTTTTGTTTGTTGTTTAACGCCGCACTCAGCAATATTACAGCTATATGACGGCGGTTGAGTCAAGAGCCCCTGGGTTGACAATTTTGTACATACACTGTAAATGACATCCATGTTCAAAAATGACATGAAACTCAAGCAACTGCTTCATAATATTAATAATAATAATAATTTTTGTTATTTGTACCACCCACTTTTTATTTTGCTACGGATTTTGCCCCCCCCCCCCCCCCCCCCCCCCCCTAAAAAAAAAGAAAAAAAAAGGTAGTAGTCGTTGATCTTTAACATTAATACCATAACTGGGATATTTTGTGGCTGTGCCTTCGTTACTTACACTCAATTGTGGAATATGTATTCTCTATATGTTTGGCTAAAAGTGGCCAAGAGAGATGGTTTAAGCCCTGCTGGGGTACCATGCAAGTAGCACATGTCTCCTTGGCCCCTGGTATGGTTGTCCAACTTTGGTTGCTGTAAATTGTTGCATTGTCCTTTCTAATAATATTTTTTGGCTCTACAACTACTTTAAAAAGCAAATATGTGACATTTTAGCTACTATAGAATCGTCGATATATTTGAATATACTGTTTAAATAAACTGTTGAATATACCTATTCTATCTTGTAACGATGACGGCTTAAGAACTGCCGATATGACTTTAATCTTCTTCCTCACACACTTAGCTATAGAGGTATAAATACACATTCAGCATTTATGTATGCTTGTATTAATAATTTCATTTATACTCTTTAAATACGCTACATACGCTAGATGTCAGCTTTATCTCCAAGAAAACAGCTTCAATATTATCATAAGAAAAAAGGATTAGAATTTTTGAGAGTGTGTACATGTGCAGTCTACATGCATGCATAAAAGCATTGTGGACTACTACCCAGGTCCGTTGGCGGGTGTGATCACCAACAGACTGGGCTACAGGCTGTCCTGTTTCGGCGGAGGAACACTCATCCTGTTGGGACTCTCTTCAGCGTCGTTCGTTCATGATGTTACTGGACTCATCGTAACGTATGGAGTCATCGCAGGTGATCGCGGGTTGTACCCTCAACACTGTTTTACGATATACAGCAAACAAGTTACTGTGTTCAGATATATGTTCTATATTTACTGCCTCCTTGAATTCAGAAAGGGTATGGTATCTTCATAGAAAAAGGGAACTTAATCAACTAAAAAGGTCATGTCAAGGATTAATGATAAAATCAAAGAAGGTTATATAAGTTTTATTCCATTTTAGTCCTAAATTCCATTATCTACGTTCTAACTATTAAAAGAAATACTCTGGCGTCTCAACAGTAAGCAGCCAAGCTATTTGAATTCTTTTATTTGGTCAGGAAAAATGCCACAACAACAGACCACAGATTTCAGACTGAAAATGGATTCAAAAGGCGGACATTTCAGAGTAAACAACATAGCGTCGCTGATTCTTGGCTGAAAAACACAACCAAATACATCACATGACTTTCTAAGCTCATTTTCTATTTTCTAGGTGGAGTTCAGATGGCAAATAAAACCAACTGGACATGACTGTCTGTGTTCATCTTCTATAACTCATGAAAGTTTGGGATTAATGGCAAACAAAACTAATTGGACCTGGCATGATTTAAATACAAAACTTCTTAGTCGTTATCAAACCAATCTCGCGACTCATCAGGAAAATGAGAGAACAAGTTAAAATATGGAAAATATTATGGGCAAGTATGAAGATTCCGCTATATAAAAATGGCAGGTAGTTACCTGGAAAGTGCAGGGGGCTCTGCTCTCTGCTTCATTCATTTGTTCCATCCTTCATTGTCTTATGTTTTGGCAGGTTTTGGCGTTGGTCTAGGGCTGAATTCCGCGTGTGTGGCACCTGGCCATTACTTTGTCAACAGACGAAGTCTGGCATTTGGCGTGACTGTATCAGGGGGTGGTATGGGCATGTTTGCCGGGGGTCCACTAATTCAGCTGCTGGTCCAGGAGTACAATCTAAGCGGTTGTCTTCTTATCTTTGGCGCCATCTCCTCCAACATGTGTGTTGCAGCCTGTCTTCTGAGACCCGTACGAATCACCAAGCAGGAAATTATAACAGAAACCACATTAGAGGAACCTGACATATCAGAAAGATTTGTGAAGGATTCAGCTGTATCAGGAGAGAAATGTTCTGTTGACAGTGTCGATTGTTTATCTGCAATAGAGCCATTGATGGAGGACAACTGTAACGAGAGTGGAGGTGCAGTTCAACATACCACAAACTTTGAGGAAGACTACATCAACGTAAAGCCTGACGTTAGCATGTCAGATGAGCGTGAATGTCACCAATTTACATCCAGTAATGACGATAAATGCTTCATTCACGCAAATAATTATAAAGGCACCACAACAAAAGAAGATGGATCATATTATGAGCACAAATCGCCCGACCCTTTCAGAAATTGCTTCAAAAGGATCAAAAGAATAACCATCATAAACAAATATGGATTCATGAGCTACTGTCTCGGTTATTTGTTCTGGGCAGTGGGTGAAGGAGCATGCCTGTTCCATCTTCCTAACTATGCCAAGCATAAAGGTAGCACAGACACTCAGGCAGCTAGTCTTTTCACGGTTATGGGAGTGACAAGCCTAACTTCAAGGCTCCTTGCAGGATTTGCAGGAAATGATGCCTCGGTGGACTATTTGACACTTCACATGGGACTTCTGGGAATGAGTGGACTCCTGACACTGTGTTTCCCCCTTTTCTCAAACTCCTACGCTCTACAGTTGACGTTTAGTGCTGCATATGGGATGTATAGCGGTGGTCCTAATTCTCTTATCAGTCCAATAACGATAGAGCTGGTGGGCTTGAAGCATCTTGCTGTTGGAGTAGGCATCGAGAACTTCTTTTGTGGAATTGGTTTCCTCACGGGACCTCCTCTTGCAAGTAGGTAGATCTTTTTATATACGCTTAAATTGCAGGCAATACTGTTTTAGTTGACACAAATGAAATGCAACAATATAAGTCAGAAATAAATATCTTGCCGGCAAGAGACATCTAAATAGAGGGAAAACTTCGGTTGTTGAACCTATATATTTTGAAAGATAACTTTACTATGTATGTTACTTTCTAATTCGAGTGGAGTGGAGTGAGTATGGTTTTACGCCGCTTTTCGCAATATTCCAGCAATATCATGGCGGGTTCTGATTCGAAAGTCAAGGTAGGGAAATGGCTGTTATGTTTTTTTTTCCTGAGATTCTTGAAGATAGTCTTTCATTAACATATTCATCTAAATTGACAAGCTGCAGTAGACTGAGAAGTAAGTATAAGAATGTTCAAATATCGATTGCCATTTACTTTGAAATATGTTTTTCTGTATTTCAGGTTTCATTTATTCAGTGACGAAACGTTATGACTTCACATTCGTATTTGCAGGTGATATTATTAAGTCAGGCATAACATTGAAAGAAATAGCATTCTTTCCCAAAAAATCTAAAATGTCCCCTCTTGGAACTACATGTAAGTGATTCAAAAATACCTTATTTCGAAAGCTTGGTGAGATGATATTTTCTGATCCTCGACATGCTTGAAAGTTGTGTGTCAGTTTGGATAGGTTTGTAAATTTTGTAAAAGTAATTTAGGATAATTTCGAAATGTCAGTCTTCCCTTGTTCCTTCGTGTACGTGGGAATGTTGCTGTTTCTTCCAGTATATGTCTAGTTTATACAGAAACTGCAACAGCAGTATATCCAGTGTTTGATCAAGTTATCTGATATGCTTTATCTGAGCAAAACTAAATTATGCCAATTGATTAACCTCGAAGAATCGTTTTCAGTGTGAAGCAAACAAGTAGAAACCCAATCATTCTTTAATTTTAGAAGCATATAGTCTTAAGAAATATAAACAAATCCATAGTAGCTGTTTTTGTGTGTTTCTAGGGGTTGGGGGTACGTGTAAATACGCCTGATCTCTGACTACATGCACAAAGATAATTACAAACAATTTATCATAACTTAGAGTTGATCTGTTCTTTGACAGTTGGTATTCAATATCTTAACCTTATTATTTGTTATTCACACAATATAATTTGTTTGTTTGTTTATTGTTTAACGCTTCACTTAGCAATACTCCAGCTATATGACGGCAGTCTGTAAATAATCGGGTTGCTGACAACCTATTCTACCCCGGATCTGCAAGGGTCCACACAATATATACAATGCTTTTTCAAACAAATCACGTCCTTAAACTGCCAACTAAAAACTTATGATTAGTTGATAGCATGTCAAAACCTCCAAGAAAACAATAATAAGTTGATGTTGTACCAATCATTTTTCCTTTTGATTATATGCATACAAATTTGTATTGGGTTTTGTAGGAATTATTCTGCTGCTTGCGTCATTCTTTGGTGCAATGGTGGGAATCTTTGGGAAACACTCGCAAAGAAAAGAAGGCGTTGACACGCCACAGGAAGCACAAGAGGCTGTTGATGTGTCTCCAAAAGGATAGAGAGCGTGACTGCCACAGCTAAATTGAGTTGACATTCAAGGAGGATCCAGGCAATTAGTTGCTTGGTCATATACATCAATGTCACCGATACCATTACCTTACAAAGACATGATAGGTACACTTGTTTGACAGAGTGCACTGTTGAAAAGTCTACTAAATAATATTAATTATGATATGATTTCAAAACAAGTTTGTTTGTCTAATTTTCTATAGAAAACAACAGCGAATGGAACAGGAACGACATTTCACTTGTTTTGAATTTAGAGGTCTTCTATGTGTTATTGTTATTGAACACGTTCTTGTTGTCTGACAGTAGTTTAAACACCACATGTGGTTAACATTTCATCAATAACATGATGTGGGTGGAATAGGAACTAGGGATTCAGGGCGTTATCTTCAAAATATAATCATGAAATTTGCGTCAGTTGCGTTGAGCAAATCAGTTACACCTTAAGACATCCTGTATCTTTTTGGGTCGTTAGAATGGCCTGGTAATTAAAACGTTCGTTCCCCGGCCTGCAGACCCGGTTCGATTTTCAACACTCATTACATCTGTTTGGCATAATCCTATGTATGTTATGTAGTCATTGATCGTTGGTTTACAAGAGTTGGAGACACCTCCGTGGTCTAGTGGTAGAGCGGAAGGTCCGGGGTTCGATCCTCGGCCGCGTCATACCAAAAGACGTTAAAAGATGGTACTTGTTGTTACCCTGTCTGGCGCTCGGCATTAAGGGGCTAAAACAAGGACTGGTCGGCTCGGAGTCAGTAGTCTGTGTCTGAGTGGGGTATTCATGTTAAACTGCAGCATTGTATCTCAGTGAGCTAGCGCTATAAATCGGCATCAGTCGGACTAGTACAAGCAGCCACACAAACACACACACGTACATGCACGTCGCTATATAAGCGCAATAATCTTGGACGCGACGTTGAACCCCATTTCACCTCACCTACAAGAGTTGGACTTGTTTGTTTGCAGCGTCAGGTCCCGCTTGATCACGCATTTATATTTTCTTATAATCCTGCTTAATAAAGAGAGCCGTTAGCTGTCTAGAACTCATCATTAAGGGAATAGAGACTGACCTGACTGGAGCCTTAAAGCTGTGAAGGATTAATTGATTGTTGTTTATCGCCGCACTCAGCATTATTCCAGCTATATGATGGCGGTCTGTAAATGATCGAAAGGGACGTCAAGCAACACTTATGGTGTGGGGTTGCATCACTACGACTGGGGTTGCATAACCCCACTCAACATTGTACAAGGAAGGGCCACTGGCCATTAGGGTCAACATACTGACACCCTTTGTTTACACGGTGTGTATCGACGTTTTGTTTTTCAGGACGACAACACCCATACTCGACGTGCACGAATACTCAATGTTCACCTCGAACAGCACAAAATCTACAAAATGACGTATGTTTGTCCCAGCTATACCCAGTATGCGCCATCAAGTGAATGAATCTTTGCAGTATTGCGCACAACTGATCCCCCAAAAACGTCAACCTGTCCATCTTTTACCTATCGTCTTTCAAGATACCGTCATACTTTTCTGCCGTGTGTAATGTGTTCCTAATTCGTTCATTATTGTCATGCTGCTATTACAAGCAAATAATATCACTTACAATTTTGGAAGTATAACGTTATTCCCGAGTACCCCCCATTTTTTAATGGTATGCATGGTGTCTTTCCCTTCAAACAAACACAGGCAAACCTTTGAAATGAAACAACTTTGTGTGCCTAATTGGTATCCCAAGTTCCAGATATCAATACTCGTTTTTAATGCGTTCTACATAAACATATATTTCACACATGGAGTACTGACAAGCCGCCTGCTTGTAGAAATAAATTCTAAGAATTGCTGACTGTTTTTGCATTGGTAAATTCGAGAATGGTTATTCGGTAGTATTGACGTATTTCTTCAACCATGGTTCTTTAGAACATGGATATTGATTGATAACATTTCGTGTTACATAACATATGTAATGTGTGGTTATTTGGTATTAGTTCAAATAATATTTTTTGAAGAAGGTCATGAATATCTGAAATCGTGTAACTGCATGCCGAAACTGAGCAGAATTAAAATACTGTAAAAAAAGTAGGTGATTGACTTAAGCCCAACGTGGAATGATCTGAGTCTTGAGTAAGTGTTTTGGGTCCAGTAGAAAGGGGTGACATGAGCCTTGGCAGAAAGTACTCTTAAGTGACTGGAGCATGGGCTTAACTCACTCAAGGGTGATTTTAAAAGGGATTAATTTGAGCCTGATACACCGAGGTGAATCACTTTGTCGATCTCGCGTGACATTGTGCAAAATACCGAACGATAATAATCACAACATCTAGCACAATGAGTATAGAGGCAACATACGTAAACAAATATGACCTTCTTTATCGCGTTACCCAGTTCATGGCAATGTCGAGTTGATTTAAGCATGTTGTAACAGAGACATTGGGCGGTTATTTAGCCTGGAAAAGACATGCAGATTATAGGGTAACAACGCCAAAACAATTTTGCATTGGCAAAGCCAAACACCCCTGTTCAATTCCCGACATGTGCTGTGTGTTAAGCAGTATGATGGCGTCCTTCACTACGATATGACTGTGAATAATGCCAAACTGATGTTAGGCCACACTCCCCTCTGACAGCTCGTCATTGCATGTAACGCTTGATCTTTCCTCCCTCATTAAGCTGACACATTGTGAAATAACTTAATTAACCTTTTCAAGTAACGTTTAACCAATCTCTCTCACTCACATTGTGCCTTTGATAATCGTGAAGAGACAGATATCAGTTCCAAATAAGCCTGCCCTTGTTCAATGACTGAGTGAAAGAGTTCAATGAGTTGGGTTATTATCCCCCTCCACGAAGTGGAAGGGGGATATAGGAATGGGTGCCGTCCGTCCGTCACATTTCGTTTCCGGCGCAGATCTTGAAAACCGTACCATATTTCTTCACCAAACTTGGCACATAGATAGATCTAGTGGTGAACTGGTGCCTTTTAATAGTTTGGGATTTTTAAAAAAGTTATTTTTTGAGTTTCCATGGCAACGACTTTGATTTGGACTGAAAATGGTGGTAGTCCACGTTTCCGGAGCAGATCTTGAAAAACGTATATTTCTTTACAAAAAGGCCCAGTGAACATAGTTCACAAGAGCTAATGCATTGCACACACCCGACATGTCATATTGGAGGGGGATGTGAGTATTTCATGCTTGTTTAGCCTGGAAAAGACATAGGGTTATAGGGTTACAACGCCCCAACCATTTTTGCATTGGCAAAGCCAAACACCCCTGTTCAATTCCCAACATGGGCTGTGTGTTAAGCAGTATGATGGCGTCCTTCACTACGATATGACTGTGAATAATGCCAAAGTTGTGTGAGGCCACACTCCCCTCTGACTGCTAGTCATTGCATGTGACGCTTGATCTTTCCTCCCTCATTAAGCTGACACATTGTGAAATTACTGAATTAACCTTTTCAAGCAACGTTTAACCAATCTCTCTCACTCACACACGCATTGTGCCTTTGATAATCGTGAAGAGACAGATATCAGTTCCAAATAAGCCTGCCCTTGTTCAATGACTGAGTGAAAGAGTTCAATGAGTTGATTATGAAAATTGCCATTTTATGTGGGATGGACCGCTCATGTGATAGAGCGCCTGCCGGGGGAGCGTAAGGTCTGGGGTTCGTAATGCAAAAAGGCGTTAAAAGATGGTACTTTTTGTTACCCTGCCTGACACCCGGCATAAAGGTGACAAGGAATGTTCAGGTCGGAGTCGAGGGTAGCTGATCACACGGTTCCCTTTCCCACATCTTAGCAGTGCTTTTGTTTATAGTGTTGACCTCTTTAGGAAGCAGCTGTGCAAACTTGATTAGATAATAGGTTCGCATGTTGGGGTCATTGCATGAACAGTGACTCAATGAATATATGATGCTTTCAATGTGTAAAACTGAACCAAATCATAATTAATAAGTATATTTACTGCAGTGCTTCAAACACCCTATTTTGCAATTGATCACCTTTTATCACACTTACAACCACTATATGAATTTCAAAGCACATACAGATGCTAAATATATGTGTTTGGTTTTGTAACATTATTTGACTTTGAAAGCCTGTAACCTGAGAACATCGGTATCACTTAAACACATAATGATCCTACATCTTCCCTTGTTCAGCGGATGTTCAATTCTTTCAGCTCTGTCTCGTCTCTTTCTCTCTGAATAAACCAATTCGGTCAAATTTCCCACTTGGTTTCACCTTGATGGTAGAATTGTCGTACTTCCTCTAGTTTAGCATCAGTGTATCCCGCACAAACACCTCTCTCGGCCATTCCAGAATATAAAAATACAATCCAGTTCCTAATCATTGACGATTACTGACTCTCATATGTCTTCGAGGTTGTGTACTCCCTTAGCTCCACGATTCTTCTTTGGATCACTCTTGTGACAAGACGTGACGTTGGCGTGACAACTTCGTTCCTTCAACAATCCATTTCTTGTGTGCCCCGCCGTGATTTTGCTGGAATAGTGATAGAAACGGCATACAACCATATTCACTCACTCATTCCTCAATAATACCTCTCGTTGTCACCATAATTACATAGTAGTTATACCCCTTTATATTCAACCTTAGTGTCTCAAGCATAAACGCCACTCTCCTATCCGGATCATTCTCTTCCTTGTAATATGTCTTAGATCCTGAATCTTGAAGGACAGCACCACCTTCTGGTCCTTCTTCTTTCAGGTGTACACGGGGGCTTTGCCTGGTGACAGTCTTGTTGTGATCTAAACTGAGAACATTGTTGACATTTCCTTCGCCCTGTTTATGTATCCAGGTTTGTATGCACCATATTGGTGTAGCAGGGCAGTGAATGAGCGATAAGCAAACACACGCTACGGGTGAGAGACGTTTATTCGGCCAATGGATTTGTCATTTATATCTAACTAGGATATACACCCTGAAACATATTAAAAGGAATGGTAAGTAATATTAACAATATACATAATGCAATCATCGACATCACAGTATTACAAACCATTTTACATTACAAACACATCTTCTTCATATATTAGTTGTTACACTGTACAATGATCTGCTAACTGATGTAAGAACCAAATAGAATAATTATTTATATATTAACTAGGTGTAAAGAGATTATAAATCTCTTTCCAAATACATACATATACATGTCTTTACGGGTGTGATACAGTTATGTGTTACACAAATATAGAAACTGACTATACAAGTTATTATGTGCCTACCCTGTGGGTGAGACTGGGGTGTCTTCCCGACTACCGCCGCAACTTATAATTCCGGATATCTGAATAAAACATATACTTTTATAACAATGACTAATACAACTATTTACATACACGTTAAAATATTTCTCCGGATCCCGTATAGTACAGACTGTCTATTATACATAACTGATCACAAAAAGATTTAAAACATAGCCTATTCCATAAAACAACACATACATTCTTCCTCATACATACAAGAATAAAGAAACAGAAAAGTGATATATTAATAATAACCAAAGCTTACATTTATAAGTCTTGTTTACCACATTTATTTAAATAGATTGTAACTGAGAATATGATAATATTAAACACGTTTACGTAAGTTTAATATTATAGGTTTAATATACTGCAACATTTAACTGCAATAACATACAAGTATACACATATATATTAAACTAACCTGATTTTAGGTGATTTCACC